CACGGGGATGGGGGCAGCCAGCGCTCAACCTGTCATCCACGTGGCTGGCCTTGTACGTAAGAGGTTATGAACAGGTGGAGCTTTCCTTACCTCTTCCCCCTCCCCCTTTTTTCCTTTTCCTTTTTTCTTTCCCCTTTTTTGCGCTCTGATTCACAATGTGACAATATATTTATATATTGTCACAGGCCCTCGTTTGTTGTCCTCTTCTCTCTCTCTGCCTACGGTTTACCGGGCAGTTCTGTTTGTGACGATACACACAGGGTGGCCGGTGTTCGGGACGGGCCGAACGCCCGAACGTACGGGACCCCTTGGGGATGCGTTCGGCCGTTCGGACCGAACGCGGACCTCCCCCCTCCAAAAAAAAAAAAAAATCTGAAAAAAACATATGCTATGCAGAAAAATAAACTGAACAACATTTGCCTGAACATTACGTCCAAATTCCTTACCAAATTTGAAATAAAAAAAAGGAAACTAACTACTAATAAGAAAAATAAGAAAAAATAAAAAGAGAAATTATTCAAATCAGAGAATTAAATTAGTGAGTGCCCAAGCCCATTTTGGACAACGCCATCTTTGGTGATTGTTCATTTTTTTTTGGAACATCCAAATGCCCTGCAACTTTACATATCTGTAGTTCACATAATACAAAACTCATGCAAAAAGTTTCAAAAAATAATAAAATATTTGAGGCATCAAAATCAAATCACAACCAAAAATGAAAAGTGAAAAAAAAAAAAACCAGAGTAGCTGAGCACGTTTTAACACCACCATCTTTGAGGATTTTTCTTTTTTTTTTGGCTCAACAAAATGCCTTAAAAATTTATATACGTGTAGCGCATGTCCTACATAACTTACAAAAAAAATTCAACAAAAAACAATCATTTTTAGGCCTCGAAATAATTTTTGGCGGGGGCCGAACCCCTTCAGGTTCGGCCCCCGAACCGGACCCTGAACGCCTGAGCGTTTGGGGGTCAGCCCGGGGCCCCCCGAATGTTCGGCCTGGTAACCATGTATATAAATGTATATGGGGGCAGCCGCGCTCAAACTTCATCAATGTGGCGAGCCTTGTACATGAGAGGCACGGTGAAGGCGGAGTTAAAAGAAGACTGAGTAAAATGAATGGTGTCAGTGTGCCCTTCATGTTTGTCTTGTTTTTTAACTTTTATTTTTGCCGTTTGTTTCGCAAAGTGCGCTCTTTTAGTTCATAGTTATGTGACAATATATAGTGTCGGGGGACAGGCTGTTTGACGATATATAACCGACGAGGGACAGGCTGTTTGACGATATATATACCAGCGGGGGTGAGGCTGTTTGATGACATATATACCGACGGGGGACAGGCTGACGATGTTGGGAGGTGGGCGTGATGTGTCATTTTGTGTTTGTTTATTTTTTTTGCTTCGGGGTGGGGAGAGGTTAACAGTGGTGGGAGGCAGGTGTGATGAGTCGTTCCGCGTGTGTGTGTGTGTGTTTTCGTTTCTTGCCCTGTACTTGTAGGAGTGATGTGATCTGCGGGATGGGCTTGATGTACGCTTACTTTTTCTGTTTTTGTCCTGTAGTTGCGGGAGTGACCGGATCTGTGGGCCCCCGCTCCAAGGGATCAGTAGGCTCATCGTTTTGCGCCCTCCACTGTGTTGTCGTTTCGGCACACGCCCGAGTTCGTATTTGGATATAAAGAGTAGACTTGCTCAAAAACAAGTACACACCTGAACCGTGTGGGTGAGCTGTGTAAACCTTACCGTTGGTAAGCCAGCTCATGAATTCAAACTTCAAAGTGCAATGGAAATCGGATGTTCCAAAATAGAAAAAGTAAGGAGGTGCTCAAGCTCCTGCTGTGTGGATGAGCAGCGCAAAATGGACTGTTAGTAAACAGGTCAGGCGTTCGAATTGCAGCGGAATCAGATGTGTGTGTGCATCTTTTGCCTCGGTTTTCGTCAAGTCTGTCCGCATGGTATGAGTCTCCGACCGTCTGGTGCCCATGTTGCCACCCCACCCGCATAGTATCACCCAGCCCATATGACACTGCCCAGCCCACCTAGCCATCCCAAGAGCCGAGTTGTGCCTCTGTGTGTGTGTGTGTGTGTGTGTGTGTGTGTGTGTGTGTGTGTGTGTGTGTGTTCGGTGTGGGGGGGGGATGTCTCTAGTGTGTTTTTTTTTTCTTCCTGTGGCCATGTGTGTGTGTTAGCATCATCCAGTCCACACAGTGTGACCCCCCCACACGGTACCACCACGCCGGCAACGTATCACCTAGCCCACATGATATGGCCTGGCCGCATAGGACTGCCTAGCTGTGCTGAGGGCTGAGTTGTGCCTCCGTGTGTGTGTGTGTGTGTGAACAGTCTCTAGTGTTTTTTTTTTTTTTTTTTTCCTGTGGCCGTGTGTGTGTGTTAGCATCATCCAGTCCACACAGTGTGACCCCCCCACACGGTGCCACCACGCCGGCAACATATCACCTAGCCCACATAATATGGCCCGGCCGGCATAGGACTGCCTAGCTGTGCCGAGGGCTGAGTTGTGCCTGTTTGTGTGTGTGTGTGTGTGTGTGTGTGTGTGTGTGTGTGTGTGTGTGTGTGTGGACAGTCTCTTGTGTTTTTTTTTTTCTTTTCCTGTGGCCGTGTGTGTGTGTTAGCATCATCCAGTCCACACAGTGTGACCCCCCCACACGGTGCCACCACGCCGGCAACGTATCACCTAGCCCACATAATATGGCCCGGCCGCATAGGACTGCCTAGCTGTGCTGAGGGCTGAGTTGTGCCTCCGTGTGTGTGTGTGTGTGTGGACAGTCTGTGCTTTTTTTTTTTTTTGGCCGTGTGATGTGTTAGTGCCATCCAGTCCATCTTTCCCTAATGCTTTAGTTGTAAAAAGTACAAAAAAAAAACGTCGTTCTGTATCTTTTGTTTATTCAAAATTAATCTCTCCAAGGAGTGCCAGCTGTCTTCTGTCCAACGCACGAGTGTGCGAATCCACTGGATCGGAGACTAAATAAATCAAACAATAAAAAAAAAACGTTTTGTTCTGTATTGTCTCCGCAATGTAGTTGGTGTGGCGATGCCTTTTCTCACTTTTCTTTGGAGCTCAAAATAGAAGTGGAGCTAACCCACTTCATGTACCTCTCTTTTGCTGTCACTGGTGCCTTTGCTGAATGAATTGTCACGCAGAGTTCAAGTTTACGTTATGGCGCACGAAAAACCCTCCAAGGATGGGGGCCCTCCAAGGTGAGACAACTCACTTGTCTTTGTCCACAGCATGATGACCGCCATCTCTCCCTGCACTCCACGCTCGCCACCTCCCCTCCTCCCACACTGCCACGTTGTTGCCGGTATCGATGTTGGATTTCCCGTTCACATGAGCCTAAGTTGACGAAGCTGCCTTCCAAGGCTCACGAGCCTGCCGCTGCACCTTTTCAAAGCGGCCTGCCAATTTCGCTACCGGCCCAGGCCCGAGGCGAAATGCTCTCACTGCATAAACCGGTAAGAACACTACTTAGGTGCGTGTGAATTGTGATCAACATTGCTCTTACAAAGGTATGCTGGGCCCGGTTCTGAGCATGTGCCGGTTCCCACGGGAATAAGAATGTTGGAGCCATCAATCTTGGGTGACCCTACAACAGACACGGGCTCCTCTTATCCCTGTCTGCGGTAGGTGCGCCGCAGTTGGCGCTTTGAAAAAAAAAGCAACACAAAAAAGGGTCGTGTGACGGCCTAATGCGAATGCCCTGATGCCCTTGTCCCGAAGAATTCCATTTGGAGGCCAATGTCGATTGATAATTGCAGATCCCGGCTAGGAACGAGTCCTTTGGGTTGCCTCGGATTGGTCACAGGATAGACGGGGCTCACAGACTGTTGTTGTTTTGTCATATCCAGTTTGTTTGGCACCGAAGGGTGGGTGGGGTAGCGATGAAAAACAAACCCCACCAGTGGAATAGTCGAGTGGCTTGAGTGGTTCAAGGCAAAATAGTTTTGTAGGTTAGAATAGCAGAATCATAATTCGCATGTCAGGGGTCCGAATCCCTCTTCTGCCAGTCGCCTGTTTATCTATGCTTTCTTCAAGCTTATATATACGATAACACTATGGTCGAATTCTCCAATGTGAATGATCTGCTATAATGGCTGTGAGAATCGGAGTGTTGTAGAAGGTATTTGTCACACAGTGTCACACAGTGGCATATCTTGTCACACAGCGCGCACAGTAGTAGTCTGTGCCGAGGGAAGGGGTGTCCGGACGGATCGCCTGGGCGATCATCTGTCCCTTCGTCAAAAGACATTGTTGTTCGTCCCGCTTCCTTCTGTGCTGTCCACCATCGTCTTCGTGTTCTTGTCTCTCGCGCTTCGCTCCATTACGCGACACTCGGAATGCACCTGTCCCTGAAAATGTTCTGAATACATACATGTTTAAATGAATCAAGGGAGAGGACACATGCATGTATTCAGATGTGAGATTGCAGTGTACTTGGTGAATATGGATGTCTGCATCAGACGTATGATCTGCTGTCGGCGAATTCGGAGAAAACTGCTACAGATGCATACCAATCTAGCAAATTGTTTGAACCAAGCCATGTTCAGAAGATGAGAAGTGGGACATCGGCTGGTACAGACGGGGCATGGTGCGGACGGGGCGTGGTACAGACGGGGAATGTGAAGATGGGGTCTTACTTTAAAAATAAAAGGTTTTCCTAGCTGAAAGTGAGAGCGCATGGTTGAAACTTGAAACCAGTTCCTACTTTTGCAGATGTAAAAGTATGAACTGGTTTGAACCATGCGGTCATGTTCTGCTGGTATTAAATTTTAATGAAGACCCCGTCATTACCTGGTTTGCTGTGCTGCAGGCTTGATCCAGGGGGAGGACTACCAAAACTATGGTCTTCAGCCGGATAGAATGCCTGGTCATTATCGCTGTCTGTAGACTGAAAGGTGCCCGGAATACAGGTATAGCGACCGTGTGTCGTCTATTGGGGTGCAGACTGTAGAGTTTAGCCTCAAACGATCTACAACTGCATAACCGCTGGTTTGAGCCATTGCGGAAAGATGAGCAGCGAATCACCCTCCTGCGACGAGGCTCTGCTACTGTCTTTTCCCGAAGAATATGTGCGCTCAGTCTGACTGTAATAGACCGCAGGACTGGCGTGCGTTGTGTTGGTGGGAAGATGGCAGTAATAAAGATAAACACAGAGTCCGTTTACCTGTGTCTAGATTCTCGACCTTAGGTCAGGGTTTTAGACCTGAGGTCTGTTACGATCTGGCTAGTTCTCGTCGCAGAACCACCAGGATTAGAGGAGGGCATGCATGTGCAGATATGGCGGGGCATGTATGTGGACATTTCAGCATATATGGTGTTTGTACAGTGCATGGTATGGGGGCCATGTATGTGGCCATGTTTGCTGACGTGTCCACATACATGCCCACACATGCAGATATGGCCTTTCCATATCTGTTGGGACCAGGGTTCGGTATCCCATATATTGTCATGTTTGTGTAACCTTCTTTTTTTTTTTGTCCTAGTAGTCTTTTCATGCTCTTGCTTCCCCCCCCCCCCCCCCTCCCCTTTTTCTTTATGCCCGATAATCGTGCTTGTGGCAGTGGTAATGAATCCATCATCTATCTGCACATGTGTGACCGGTGGCATGGTGGTTTCGGTGGGGCTTATGCAGGATAAAATGCAAGGAGAAAAATGGGAAGATCCCAGGTCTGTCATTTGGAAAAGGGCTGGAGCAGACATTCGTGCATGCTGTCGGAGAGGGAATCTCGTTTGGCGCCTATAAGGTTTGCATCGCTGTGCGCAGTGCTGTTCTCAACTTCTCATGCTATTCTCTCATCTTATTCTCTCACACTATTCTCTCATCCTATTCTCTCCTGCTATTCTCTTATGCTACTCTCTGGTGCTATTCTCTGTTGCTATTCTGTCATTCTAGTCTCTCACGCTATTCTTTCGTGCCCTTCTCTCATTCTATTCTCTAATTCTATTCTCTGTTGCTATTCTCTGTTGCAATTTTCTCATGCTATTCTCTTATGCTATTGCCTCATGCTGTTCTGATGCCTTAGTACATAGGTATGTGGTGGTTTGCCTATTTGTGTATTTCCGCTGCTTATGTGAGAAGGGATCGGGAACTTCCTGCTGTCCGAGACTACCTGCAAGTGAGGCCTCTGGCGAGGGTCTCAATACCGCACGAATGATGCCAGAAGTTTCTCCAACTCCTCTCCTGGTTTCTCTTCTGCCTGAACTGATAAGAAAGGACCATGCCATCAACAGGTAGCCCGCAAATTTGCACGGAAAATAGTAAAATACCTGTTACTATTTCTCGGATAACCTAATCATTAATTTAATCGGAGTGAACGTCCTATTGTAATGAAGCCTGCGGATTCTCAGTGGACCGTACATTGGGCCGAGGGCGAAGCTCGGGGCTTGCCTCGGTCGGGTCGCATCTTAGGTTAGATTCGTAATTTTGTTTGACTGAGGGCTAACCGCGACAGCTGCGTGTGAGGAAATTCGTGAGGGACATATCTGCAAATTTGGGAAAATATAGGCCCGTACTAACTGGAATTTGCTACAGCGACCCTAACTGCGATTAGCAGGCCCGAACTAGGTAGCCTAGGACAGACAGGCCCTACAGGCCTATGCTGATAGACGGTCCTATAGCCTATAGCCGGGTAAGGTAGAGGCCGAGAGGCCGAAACTGAAAAGGTACCGGTCGGTCCAGTCAGTCCGGTCAAGGTCGTGTCTAGGCTAGTATAGGTTATAGATAGGATAGGATGGGCACATCGGTTCAGGGCTTTTGGCAGTTGGTACCGCGTACATCGCTGCTGCGCTACGCGTGAACCGGAAGTGGTGACGGCTCAGCGTTGTGGGAGACAGACATAGCCAGACCTTCGGAGCGCCGGCCATAGCTGGGACCTGCGCTGTACTCTGCCAGCACGTGGGGCTGTACAGGGGTCTGGGCTATTCAGGGTTGGCTGGAGGCGAGAGAAGTTGGTGGCCCGCTGGACCCTTCTCCGGAGTGGGGTTCCAGGGTTGTGGCGCTGCAGCCATTGCTGCAGCTTCTTCCTCAGAGGTCACCTTGTGAGGATTTGGTGGCGCTGCTGCAGACTTCCACCCGGGAAGTCTTTCGACACTTCGTCATCATCAGATACTGTGGCGCTGGTCTTCTTCTTCACCCTCTGAGTGGCGCTTGGCCTCAGAGGCCTGTTTCAGGGTGGCGCTGCCCTCTGGAGGCAGTATTGGGTGGCGCTTGATGTTTCAGGGGCTCAGGGGTGTCACGAGTGGTTACTCAGGGTTGGGGAGTGAAGCGCTGCTCATTTCTGAGCAGCGCACTGTAGGTCTGAGGTTATCCTGACAATCCAAGACTCTGAGTTTAATAAACAGTGTGATACTGGGTTTGGACTATCATCGTTTCATTGTTTCCTGGATGTGATCTACTCGGCTTTCCTTTATGACTGGTTGTGAAGATTGAGTGCGGTGTGATACTCCCATCCTCTCCCCTTCCTTCTGTGTATGTATGGGCATTCCTGGGAGTCCATGTGAGTGAGTGTTGGTCTTCAGACAGCAGACAACCAGAATCATAACACTATCACCCTCATGCTAAATTAAAGGGCTACCGTCTTCCTGCAAACATAATGCACTCTGATCGTTAATGGATACAAGCTGTTGTTCAGGCCCGGTACAGCCATAACAAGGGTGTGTTGCGTTTGGGGAAGACTAGAGTACAAAACCAACTCACAATGATTAGCTGGACTGGTGTGGGCTATTTCCAGAGGTAGCTACTGGATGCTGGCAGGCGGGTAGCTTCCTGAAAGCCCGCTTGAGTTAAGATAAAGGAGAAGAGTAGTGTACTCCCCTCGGCCCCCCCCCTCCTCATGTGCATACTCAAAGGCAGCGAGCGACTAATCCGAATTCCAACGAACTCAGTAAAGTCGTGTTATCTTATATGAATTCCAAGTGCAAAAGATAAACAAGGTACACATAGCACCCGTCAGCAACTTCCCTATGTGCATTTCAGTTTTTGCCACAAAACGAGGGCTTGTCAGAGACAAAAACCTGAAACTGGCCACAATAGCAGTTAGATACGAACTTGTGGGTTTTGATGTGAGCACAACTTCGTGCACGGTCTTTCCCGACATGGTCTTTTGTGTTTCCTTTTCGTTTTTCGAAGGGACCCACAAGGCCCAACTACCGAGCCTCGTCCACCCCCGAAAAGTTTGGGAAAGTTGGGAAAACTGCAGTACAGTTTTCCCATTTTTCCCAAGACTGAGTGAGGCAGTAGTGGCTTGACGCCCTTGTGCAATCTTCCGGCTGATCTCAATGCCTTGAAGGCTTGACATGAATTTCAGGGTTCCAAACAGCTATTGTTTTGCCTCCTCGAATACAATGCACCCTCGTTATGAATGTATGGGACCGTAAAGATAGCTTGTATAGACAGACACATGATGAGGGTGTGTTGTGTTCGAGGGGAGGTGGTTGTGCGCTCACCTCCCTGATGCTCACGATTCCCAAAGTTTGATCTATTCTTGAGGGAAGGTGGTTCCAGAAGCAGTGATAATGAGGATTTTCAGAGCACCCAGACTTTCTTTTTCAGCTGCAAAACTCACTGAGTGAGTTTATTATAGATTGCAAAGAGGCGAAGAGGCAGAGTGAGGTGTGCATGCTGCTCTGTGAGTTCTTTGGTTGGGAAGTTCTCTTGTTCTTCGTTTGCTTGATGATTGCTGCTAGTGTCAGGAAATTTTCCTTGATTTACTTGGTGGTTACCAACTTTGGATTATTTTTTTTAATACATGTGTATATACTATATACATATCATTCCTCTGGCCCTGTGCTGCAGCAGGATAATTTGCCAACACTCTGCGACCATCTCGTTTGCTCAGCTACAAACACGAGTAGACTCTGCTGTAGCTGCCATCTTCTCTGTCACAATCACTACAGTGACATGGTTTCTGCATCCATGTGTGTAGAGGACTGTCCCTCTGTTCCTGACTGTAGGCACCGTCCGCATCCGGACACTACGTGTCCATTTTGCGGCCATGGGCGCTATACTGAATGCGTGATCTTTTGTTGTGAGTGTTCTTCCTTCATTTGGGTCTGCAATCGACGTGCCATTTGTAGGGAGTGTGTGGTGGGCATGCTCAATGCCGGCCGTTGTGGCAATTGTTGTACTGAGATTGCTTGGCCATGTTGGTCTTCCATGTGTTCATCCACTTATCCTTACAATGTATGTCCTCTCTGTCGTCAAGGACAAACCCATTCTTGAGACTTTTCTTATCCTCTCCTTTGCCTTCATCTTGGTTCCACTCTCTGTACTTTCCCTTACTTTCCCTTTGTCGTTCTTCGTTGGTCTTCCCTCCATCTCTCTTCCCTGTGTTTATCCCCTCCCTCCCCCCGTTACTCGGCCTCTTTCTCACAGCGTACAAGTGGGCCATTATGGCGCACGCGGATGCACGCAGCTCGCGCTCAACTTCATCAGCGTGGCGAGCCTTGTACGATAGAGGCACGGTGAAGGGGGAGTTAAAATAAGAATGAGAAAATGAATGGTTTCAGTGTGCCCTTCATGTTGGTCTTTCTTTTTCTTTTTTCTCTTTTTTTTACCTTTTGGTTTGCACAGTGCACTCTTTTAGTTCATAGATATGTCAGTGTATATATATATGCGTGTATAACACTGTATATGCTTTGACTGTTGCCACAGGTACCTTGAGGGCAGTGGTTGGTGCCCACCTCAGGGTATCAGTTGCCGGGCAGTCGTTGATGCTTAACCATAGCCGGGGTTAAGGTGGATTATCACTTACAGTGTAATCAGTTAGGGGATTCTGCAGACTGTTGAGGGTTCAGCCTCCTGATGAGTCGGTGAAACTCCGGCGAAACAGTTTGCCACAGCCCCTCGTTTGTTGTCCTCTTCTCCCTCTCTGCCTACGGTTTACCGGGCAGCTCTGTTTGACTATATATGGTTTTCGTCCTGTAGATCAGCGGGAGGGCTGCTACCATCGCCCGCATCCTTATGACAGTTGTCGTATCTGGCGTGAGGGTCTTACTTAGACG